GAACATTGCCAAAGCAGATATTGTACGTAGAAAAAAGGAGGGTAAGTTGTTTACTCGCTGATTGGCAATTGCCTATTCATTGTAAGCTCTTAAAGTGAGACGTGGGGCGAATATATAAAAAACGATTTGAACTTTTGAAAGGACGTTACAGTTTTTTTTCAAATTTCCTGATCGTCTCTGAACGTTCCCTTGCCAAGATGTATGTAATGATTCTGTTATACAATAAATATAATTAGAATTGTCTGGTCTATTGCAAAAGAAAGTTTCAACAGCTTCAAAAAGAATTTGGTAAAGCTTTGCAGACTTGAAGAGTCTTACAAGTTTGAAATGAAAAAATGAGTTTTTTTTGCAAATATTGGCGTGAGGTTTTGCAAAATAACAGTTATTTTGCGCAAAGCGATTTACCCAAAAAAATTTAAGAAATTGTTTGCTATATGTACTTTTGACGTGGTTCATAAAAAAGCGTCTGTTTACAGTTTTAACTTTCATTTCTTTCCAATTGAAAAAAAAATTTTTCAAAAAATGTATTATAGGCCAAATTAAAATGAGACACCACTACGCGATTATCTTGTTACGCATCATCTCTTTCTATCACTTTTACTTTCGACTTAAGCTCCTTCTCGAATCAATCAGTATTTCACAAAGCTGGTTTCTGTGTTTTATTGGGATGATTTTGCACATTCAAAGTGACTCCTTAAGCAAAAAAGTATTTGTGTGATTCGTAGTATCAAAATGTGTCTGTGTAATAACACTGTTTTTGCGGTCTTTAAAAACCTTTTTTTGACAGATAAGAGGTAAATCTGCTAGAGTAATTTGCAATGACAGTTTGCTGATGAAACACGGGCCTGTAAATGCAAAGTTTTAAAGAAAAATCAAAGCGCACTGCTTTTTGTAACCTTAAGTTGTTGTGGGAACAGAGTAGTTCCATAAATAAATAAGTGAACTAAATAAAAGAACTATTTTGTTATCGTTTTCTAGTTAAAGTGTGTTTTTATAAGAAGTCTCATAGTGCCAAAAATTTTAATGTAGTAGTGGTACAAGAACAAGGCCTTCTACCAAATTTGCTTTTACTTGTCATGGTCTTGCTCAAAATCTACAAGAATGGCGTTTACACCTTACTGTTTTTGTTTCATATACTGTGTGGACGCCTTGTCATCTTCAATTCAAAATTAAGCGTTATGTGAATGTTTGGAAATTCCCTTGGGACTTTGTCGTAGCTTTTGACAATCGTTTTGGTTTCAGTGCCACTAGTAATGTGCTCAAGCAGATACTTTGCTTGATAGCGGGGACGCCTTGGTAATTTGTCTTTTAGCCTTACATGGGTAAAATAAAGAACTCTTATTTAGCTATACTTGCATGTGCACGCTACCAGAAGTGGACTGAGTAGATTGTGTATTGATGTAATGCGATCCTACTTTAACGACGCAGCAAAAGTTTATTGCTAAATAAGCCGGGTGTTCTTTTAAATCTGGAACGTGAAGCAGCGGCACAAACCCGCTCTAACTAGAGTTCCTACTAGAAGGGTTTTACCACTGTTAGCGCTCTATCAGCAGGTTCAGAACAAGAAAGACAATACAGGTTGTTTTAGAGTGGCGTTTTACTGCAGAAAATTTTAAAAACTTTTTGTTACGCCGACATTCATCGGGGTTTAGATGCATGGGAATAGCATTGCGGATAAAGAAACTCTATTCTGCAAAATGACTGCAAAATGACTGCAAAATAGAGAGTTCTCGGCTTGTTGCTATGTCGCCTTTACATGTCCTCTAAAGCGTTTTATTAGTTGCTTCGTTACTGATCGCTGTCTTTTCTACATTTACTTCGTCGAGTTTTCTAAGTGCTGAAAGTGATTCTTTGAAGACTTCCGTGGCTGTCTTCTTATAATAGAGACACTTGTTCATGAATTCTTCGACAAATAAGTGTTATTTCAAAGTTTGGCTTGAAAAGTGGATGTTGGTTAAGTGGAGACGCTTTTTACCACAGCCGCTGTGAACAAGAGAAATTAGCACTGGTCTGCGACAACAACGCGTTGATAGCGTTTAGGCACTGAAATAAAAAAAAAAGGCAGTTTGCATTTTGGTTTCAAGTCTCATTTTGTATGATATGGCTTAATGGTACAAGAAGAATTGGATATTTTTTTTTCGAGCGTTATGGTAGTTTTCAACAGACAATTAAGTTACGGCCAGCAGAAAATCAAGTTACGGCTAGCCTTTACAATAATGTGTTTTTTCTCCGCGCTCTTGCTTTGAGCCAATGTGAACGCATTTTCTTATAATGCCGGAGGAAGACTGCGTAAAATTCTACCAAAACCTTGTGTCAGCGTTTACGATATGTTCAGATCGCTGCAGAAATTCGGTGCGTAAAATTAGATGTGTAGCATATCAAACTGTTTGTGATACGGATTTTTCCCTAACGGGTGTAAATTTCATTGCTCAAATGTAGTTTTTCGGTAATTATGCTAGCGCGATATGATTTCATAAGCGAATGTCTGAAAACAGCCACAATTTCTTCACTTGTTTCTTTTATCACAGGAAAATGACGGTGTCTTTTATGGTTAAGAAATGTTACTGTAATGCATTGCTGTTTAAAAATGTTCCTCACAAAGGGACTCAAACTTTCCGCTTCAAAGTAAATGTTGAAATTTCTGCTCACGGTTTCTTGTGTTTCCTCTCTTACTGTAAAAGTGGATAAGAAAATAAAAAGAACGTTCTTTCACTGTTCTGTTGTGAATTTATGAGGGTTGTCCAGCAGTGTTTCAGGTCTAAGTGGATAATAACAGTTTTATAAGAAAGTTAATTTTTTAGCATTTTTGTGGTTATATTCTAATCGCGCTTTGGCTGGCCAAAGGGGGTCCGGAAAGACTTTTGTGATAGTAGATGTAATTGTTAAGTCATTATTTAAATGCCTAGCTGGTTTCAGGTTTTAAATGCCATATACGTTAATTTAAACCACCACATGGAATAGTACACAAAACATGAAAAAACTTTATTCCAAGATATGCCACAAAGTGATTTGTACGGTGTGTCAGGATGATTACAACATCGGGTGATACGAAACAAAATTCAGACGATACATTAAATTAGCATCGTTGTTCCAAAATACACTTCCTCTGAAACAGCAGTAGAGAAGAAGTTTGAAGGAGTCTTTTTTTAGCTTTTTCCTTGCTGTCTAATGGAATGTTAAGAAAAAAGGGCGTTTAAACAATTATCATCACAAGTGGTTGTAAAGGTTTTTTCGTATAAGCGTCAATTATTAGCTGCCTTTATTATGTCAGAAGGTGAGCTTTTTGGGGTGCACATGTCATTCAAGAACAACGACGCTTAGTTGGGCTGTAAGATTGTAGAGACTCGATTTGTAGTTGTCTCTACTATTTTGATTGTTTTCCTGAATGCACCGAACATAACCTAAAACTGTTTTTAGAAGACATGAGGTTAACGAGTTAGTGATATTAGAAATCTTTTGCTAAAAAGCGCTTTAAAAAATAATAATTTTTAAGCTAAGTTTCTATTCGAAAAAAAAAAAGTTTCTCTCTCTCTCTCTCCGGAAATCTGTGCAGTTCGGCAACCTAATTTATCAAAGTCATATCAAAAATGGTAAAAATATAGCCTCTATAGATTTCGCAGCTGCGTCAAGCCATTTTTTGCACGACTCGGGAACGACTTTTTCAATTTCCTTTTTCGGCTTCTCCAAACATTCATTTTTTAAACATTCATGTTTATTCTCCACCTCAGCATCGGTGATGTCCTTGCCGTATTTCTCTATAAACTGAAGCACAGCATTTAAAGAAAGATACTCGGTAAACTCGTTATTTTTAGTATCACATACATTTAGAACACTGCGGCAGTTGACGCTGTCGTAATCAGTTTTTCTCCTACAGTTTGGCACTTTCTTTTTGCTTTTTTTTTTTTCTCTAAATAACTAAGCGAGCCAAGTTGTAAAAGTTTCAAAAATGTAACTTACTTTGCTCATCTCGGAGGTGTAGTGGTCTTCGCATTCACGGAGCAATTTCTGAATTTCTCCCACTTTATCGATCTCTCCATATCTTTTCTGAAATGGCCAACTGCAATATTAAAAAATAAGGTCAACACGAGTTTACAGTGTTTTGGTGGCCTGAAAAATAATCTCTGCAGGAGCAGTTCACTGTCAAATTGCACAATTTTTTACCTAATGTCTCAAGCTTCTCTCAACTTCTGCTGAAAGTAGCTGTGTTCCAAATTCGCAAAATGAAGAAATTGCCTTATTAGCCTGTCTTCAGAAGAAATGAGAACGTTCCGAGGTTGCAAAAAAGCATGCTCTTTTTAATCTTGTTTCATACTTCACAAAGTCATTTAACTCTTAAACAAATATATGCTGCATATTCATCCTCTTCATGTGCTTTCTAAAACTTCACTTAATCTAAAGTATACAAATAATACAAAATTATCATTTTCAGTCGGAATAAAGTTGCTGATCGTCTAAGGCTCCAGTGGATTCATGAGTTATGAAAAAAATCAAAACAATTTCATGAACAATGTGCTTTAATGCACTTTTCTGTCGACTGCGCATTCAGAGTTGCATTTTGATACTGTTGCAGAGCAACAAGGAATGTTGTTATTGCACATACTTAAAATAATAAGAATTTTCGAAAATACATAACCAAAACAATTTACCTTTTGCAGTTCCAGACGGGTGGTTAGAATGCTATCGTCAGGAACACAATAGGTCAATCGTTTACGTAGTAATTTGTCATAAAATGATTGCCTATTCAAGCAATGTGTTGAAAAGTTCCTACAGATACACAGATGCACTGATAGAAACATCTATTGTGTATTTCGCCTTCACTGGATCGTCAGCAATATCGACTGCTATATTGCTTTCTCATACTATTGACCTATATGCTAACGGCGATGATTATTTCTTTGTTTGAGTTTCTAATTTATGTATGGTTGCCGCAGAAGCGAAGAATTGTACAGTTTTTGATTCATTCATTGCTACGTTGTTTTGCTCGCTAGTTGCGTTTTGAGTGAATTTTCAATATTCCTAGAGTTGTATCTGGCTGCATATTTTGTATCACAAATTCACGAAGTGACAGGTTAGTGCTTTGTAATCATATCTGTCATAATAAAGTGTTAAATTCAAGTGTTGAGATCAAGGTGTGAGACTGAATCAAATAGGAGGTCAAGACGAGAGAACCTTCTAAATTACTATTTTGAGTCAAATATTATTTTAATATTATTTCATTTATTTTTATTTTTTTTCTCAACAGATACCATAAAAAAACTCTATGATCGATTCATTCCAGACGCAGTAATTCAGAGCAAGAGACCGAATTTTTTATCGTTTTTTTCAGTACTGTTTCGTTATGCCTCTTTGGTATTCTCTTTGTAGCTTATAGATACATTGTCATTCTATGGGGGGTTTTAATGAATCTTTAAGAAAATCAAATTCTACGCGAAAATCTTTCTTGGCAGAAAACCAAAAGGTTAACAGTTCTTTAAGCCCATCCTGAAGCAAAACTATTGCTTTACGTTCAAAGTCTACAAGAAAGAATTCAATTTCAAAAGAACATTTAAAATTATGGAAGAACTTCGAAAAACGCTTGAAAACTTTATAGTCTGATGAAAAATGAAGCAAGCTGCTAAACATTCTACGCTTAGTCAAAAAATGCTATTTACTGCAAGATTAGGACGTGTTCGTCCTTCCTCATTTAAACTGGCGAAGTGTTATCTTTAGTTTTTCAGATCTAAAGCAAGACTTTTCTATAACAAAGAAGGCTAATGAGACAGTGAATGAAAACTTGTTACTCAGCTTGGGATGGCTCCTCCGCTTAAACACTTTTAGTGAATCAGGATATTTCTTTGTCCAATATTTTGTTGTTTTGTGTTCTATTGAACTTACGGATCAAAAAGTTAACCTTTTTTTAGTCTTTCATAATTTCTAAAACAGTTGCTGTGAAACTTTTGCAACGGAAGTGTGCAATAATTGAAATCGTATAATATTTCTGCAAAAGCGAAAAGGAAAAAGTGTGTTTACTTAGATTATTCTTTCATAGAACTTTTTTCAAGTTAGAAGAAAATTGTTGGCAGATGGAGTGATAGCCATCATCTGCGATAGTTGTGTAGTGTCGTAACGACTGTATTTAATACAAGACGGAACGACATAATTTGGACAAAGAAGTACCGTGATTAGATGTATTGCTGGCATAATTTCAAAACATTTGAAGCCTAGATCAACATTCAATCAAGAGTTACGAAGTGAAGGAGGTAGTATAAAAAAGGGAACTGTGCATTGTGTATAAAAAATTACATTGTAGTAGTAAGTGATTTTGGGACTCCATAAGATGATAACGCTATATGAAGAAATAAATGGTGCATTTTCTTCATTAGAAATTAATTATTACTTTCCCCGTTATACTTAAGTAATCTAGACGTCTGCATGTTACACGGAGTTTAACAGGTTAAAAATAAGACCTCAAAAAAGTTCATTGCTTTAGTGACGCTTTCGGGTGATAGCCAAGAAACCGTTTTTGCCATTTCCGTCCTTAGTTTTTCCAAACATTTTTTCTTCAATGACCTATGCATCCTGTCAACATCTTCAACGGTCATATTCTCACCGCATTCTCTTATAAACTGAAATGCATGATTTTCTATTTAACAAATACTTATTGTTGTACATTATGAGAATGGTGTCGCTATCTAAAATGCTAAATTTTTTTTCCTTCTGGCATATATTTATTTGTTTACTCTTCAAATAAAAAGTATTTTAGGCGAATTCTCAGAGCTTGCAAAAGATTACTTTTTCTATTCTGTAGGTACAGGAGTCTTCACATATTCGAAGCGTTTGAAGAATTTCTCTTAATCTGTCGATGTCTCCTTTCTCAACCGATTCAATAAAATCACATCGATCCTGACAAAAAAAGTTTACGGCGCTACTTTCCCTGCTCTATGCTGTAATTTAGAGTCTAGCGCCACCCATTAAAACACCAGACGCTTTAATCAGTGTTTATTTGATAAACTTTTTTAATATCAAAACGTAAAAGTGATTCTTAATTTGGAATCAGGTAATGATTAAACCTTTTTCGAAATTACAAGATGAAGAGCATTAACTCAAACGCCTACTCCTCTTTGAAAGATGTTTTGATCTAAAAAAGGTCATCTATTTGCCCAACATATCGATAATTAAAGAGCTTGAAGTACCTTTTTTTTTTTTTTT